ACGGGGGATGAAGGCAAGCAACATGAGCTTGTGAGACAAGTTAAGCAAGCGAGCAAGTCGGTGGAACCGTGGTAAGTGCTAACAATGAGAGTTACTAAAGTTAGGCTGGGCATAGAAGCGAGGGCAGGTCGGGATTAGGAGGGGCGACAAATTGGTTTTTCTATTTTGATACCATGTTGGAATGAATTTATTTTTTGTGTTTATTCAGTAGGAGTATCTCCTATTTATAATAGTTGAAAGAATACAATATTCCATATCAGTAAATAAACATGAACCATCAGACATGACAATAAAATTTTTATAAGATAAATTATAATGCTACAACTTGAAAAAAGATATTAGGTATGAGGCATCTTAAATTTTAATGTATATGATTTCACATGTAGTTTTTGAGTAACCCAAACAATTTAATCATAATAAGCCTACACCAAGAATGAGTTTCAAGTCGGTCCTTTTCTATTGGTTATGAAGATGCTTACTAAAATGATATTTATGGTCAGACATCTTGGGGTATGCTAGTTGCAGATTGCATAGTTTTAATAGGTGATACCTTCTCAAAAGTAATCAAGAAGTTATAATGATGAAGAAAAAAAATAATAGATGTTAAAATGGGCAGTATAAATTATTATTACCGGAAGATTTATATATATTTAGGTGCAATATTTTTAAGCATGTAGGTTCAATCATTGAAAAATAAATGAGAACAATACTTATATAATTAGTGCTCAACGGTTACTATGGTGAAGTGCATTCAACGTTCAAAGCAATAAGGAAGCATCAGGAAATTCAAAAAGTTATTTTAATAAAGTTTTAATTAAATTGACTATGTTGTAGATGTGTTGGAAAACACACAAGTTGAGAATCAAGGTGATTATGGCTCAGTTGATAATTGTAAGACAATGTGTGATGAAATTAGGAATTAAAGTGAAAAGATTTTATTTTTGGGATCACATAAACAATATATATTGGTCTTAGCAAAAAAAAAGTGGATTGTATAATTGATTTAGGAGGATTAAGAGGAAAATGATTTGACCAAAGCTGACAGTTTTTCAAATGTGCAAAAGAACATAAAAAATAGATTTAACACCTAACTTAGCATCTCACAAGAATGTAAAGGGGTGGAGGATTTATAGAGCTGAACCTAATTAGTTGGGATAAAGGTGGATGATGGGATAATACTTAAGAACAATATTTTATTTTAAAAATGTTAAATTAATCTAAATTTATTTTCATTTTTCTTTTCATGAGAATCACAACGTTCTGAAGTGATTAATCATTTTGAAAACTAAAGATGGAGGAGTCGATGCTCAAATTTTATGCATTTCTATAAAAGCTTTCCATTTTTCCCTTTTTTTTATGTATTGGTAGCATTCTGATTGTTGAATGATGTGTGTGGAGTCTCTATCGTGGCTATGTATTTGGTTTAACCAAAGGTTTTGTTATCTTGTAGAAAGAGTTTTGACAGGTTAGTTTATGCACACTTACGCATATTAGGATTTCTTAAAAAATTTTACTTTTTCTTTGCATGTCTTATTACTGCTACTACATTTATATGCCATTATATATACTTCAAGAAGGATATAATTTTACAATCATGATCTGTTGAGTTTTGAACTACTATCAGAAGGTCTTTAATAACTGTACAATAATCATTTTCAAGAAAGTTGTAAGAAAAGAAGAAATGCCCTAAAGTGACATCTTCTTAAAGTAAGTTAATATAAAAACAAATCACAAGCATATAAAAGTGAGTGAACTTAAAGTATTCAAACAAAAATTATATGGACATGTTGTTTTGTACTTGGTATGAAATAAAGTTGTTGCTACGCTTAACGGTTAGTATAAGCTACTCTGAAAGTCTGTCGATATTGATCTTATTTTTAAGAATAAAATAGCTGAAAACATTACTAAACAAGATTTTCTCCTTAAAAGATTCCGACTTTGAATGTGAATGTTTGATAATAAATGGATGGAATATTATAAAGATGATTTATCACATGCCTACTTGCTAAATTGTTTGTTATGCTGCCTAACGTTGTTGGGATTTGGAAAATTATGGTGGTTACTAAGAGCAAAATATTAATTGAGAAAAACTAACTGAATATAGGGAAGTTGTAAATTATCATAGATAGAGTAGCTTAATAATGAATGGAATTGCATAACACAAGAGGCTTTATCTAGATGATGCAGGACAATAAATAGATTAGACTTATTTTTTTGTAGTTTCTCATATTTTTTGCAATGATCTACTTTTATGTGAATTTTTATGTTATAGTATGTGGTATACCTCTCTTCATAATGAGATTATGGCGTAGGATTTTGATTAACTATTGGTGATGGATGAAAGAGAAGAGTTAAAATATTACATGATTACGCTAGGATTATGATAGTTATAATGTATTTTTGGTAGAAATTATTTTTTCTTTGCTGTTTTCCATTCCTTCAGGCAAAATCTCGTGTTGATTTGGACATTATTTCTTACAATCAAAATGATATAGCATTCTTATTTTAATCCTTTTTTTATTTGAAAATTCAAGGTCAATATTAACTATAAATTATAATCCCTTTGTTGCTTCGAAATGAACAATGATAATTGTTATATGCTTATTTGAGGAATTAAAAGTCTAATTCCATCAAGGGTATTAATAAGAGATGTTAACTCCCATAATGTTACTTTTCTAAATACGTCCTTCTAGATTATTATTCGTATGTTTGAGAGTACTCAAGTGTTTAATGTTACTTATCTAAATATGTACCTCTAGGTTCTTATTCGTATGTTTGAGAGTACTCAAGTGTTTTAAGTATGGATGTCTTTACCCTCATGACGGCATTCAACCAATTATACTGTACCTTTCTTCTCCCAATTCCTTTTCAGCTGCAATCCATATGTTTTGCTCATTTCTTCATTATCTATATATCTACAATAGTGGTGTTAATAAATGCTTGTTTAGTGACCATCTATTTAGTAGTGACACTTATAAAAATGCATCGTATCTATGTCGGACATGTATCGAAAACAAACATAGCTTCGATACTTGTCCCATACTATAAAATATGTGTCTGAATTTTTTTCGGACCTGAACATGCCTTGGGCACACCTTAACATGCATCATATATGGGCTCAACACAATTTGGGAAAAAACAAGACACAAAAAATAAAAACTTATAAATATGCTCCAATGATACCTCAAAGTAGAAATAGTTTCCCTTCTCATCATGTCAAAGCTCGCTCTAACATTCGTTAAAATCAAACATCAAAGGCGCATCCAATATTCTTCAAAGTCGAATATCAGTAGTTCCTTCTTTGTTTGTCAAAGTTCAATGTCAAAGGTCAATTATGTATTCGTCGAAGCTGGGCGGTTTTCTTTTAAACAAGATATAATCATATGTTATTTTAGTAGTTATAAATGTCTATACTTATTTTAATTCTAAAAGTTAAATTTTAAATTAATTAAACATTGTGTAATCGTAGGATATTTTAAATTTTAGTAGACAAGTTGTAGAAATTCTTTTGATATATATTATATACCTAATTTTGAAAATTAATTTTTGTAAGTATGAGATTTGATAGTACAAATTAAATTTATAAAGCCAAATTTTATTATTGCTTATTTTATCTTGTGCTATCTTTATTAAACAATAAGGAAAAAATATATATTTTATACTACTAATTTATGAAATATAAAAATGTTTTCATGAATCGTCATTTCCTATATTTTTCAACTATGTCGTGTTGTCATCTCGTATCGTGTCATGTCCGTGTCTTCATGACTATTAAGTCTTTAATAAGTTGGTTGATTGCAAGACTTTATCTGTTTGTGTTTTTCAACTATGTCGTGTTGTCATCTCGTATCGTGTTATGTCCGTGTCTTCATGACTATTAAGTCTTTAACAAGTTGGTTGATTGCAAGACTTTATCTGTTTGTTTACACAGAAAAATATGTTTTAGAAGGTAATGATTTTTCTTACGCTTATTTTAAATACAGAAATAAATTCATTATTTTCGAGGGATTTTGAAGGACGGTGTTTAAAACCCATATTTATTTCTAACTTCAAACCAAATGACAAGATCCAATAAATTTATTTATTTCAAAAAATATTTTTAAATTTCGGACAATCAAATGAGGCCTAATAGATATGAGAATGCTAACATATATGCTTTATCAAATTAAGAATGGTATTCAAAGTGATTATTGCAAGGAATATGTGCGAGTAGCGAGCATTGAAGAGGAGCAAGAAAAGCCAATGAAGTGGTTTGGTTTGTGCATGCAGTAGTGTGGTTAGACTGATCTGAAAAAGTAAACTAAATACGGGCCAAGATAATATGTATTCTTTTTTTAGGATAAACCCCAAATAGCCGTTATATTGGTTTCACATGACTGACTTTTTGTTTCCATAATTAATGAAGATATTGCCTGATGCTTTTTTTTTCTTACCATGTTGTGTATGACAAATAGAGCTATGCGCAATATCAAAGCAGGAATTCAGTGGCTTGCTCAATTGAATTTATTCTAACAATACAAAATATAGGTATTAGTAATATATGAATCTTTAGCTATGCTTATTAATTATATCTATGCTTAATCATAATTTACAGTTGATAATTGATATACTAATAAATACCTATATTGATGCATCATCTCTTTGATAGTGCATTTTTCAGAGTAAAGTGAAACTTTGACAGTTTTTAAGGATATTGTAGTAATGCGATTACAGTTTCTAAATATATGATGCATGCATCATGCTCATTTATGTTGAAGGTTTATTTTTAGCAGCATTTACATACTACCACCCAATTCGTATGTATTTACATATGTAGCACCTAAATTTCACCTTTTAAAAAGTGAAATAAACCTTTTCATGCCTAGATATATGTTCATGCCTAGATATATGTGTATATGTGTGAGAGAGAAAATTGAAATACATACAAGAATTGAGTAGTATGTATGTAAATCTTCTTTATTTTAAGTCAGTTTTACAAAATTGAAGTTTTATTGTTTCAGGAGGATAGTTGGGGTAGCTCATGTTGAGGACTTCGAATCAATTACTGATGCCAAGAGAAGAGCAGATTGTGAACACCGCGCTCTAGAATTTGCTAAAATGATTCTTAAAGAAAGGAGGCGTTTTGACACAATTGAACAAGTCATATCTGCAATCGGGAATATCTCTTCGTAATCGGCTTTATTACGGTGTTTGTGAAATTTGCCACTCGTCTATCAGTGCAGTTAATTAGAACCGAACGAATGTTTTATCTATGTATTCCCGGACAAAATGCGGTGCCAGGTTTGAATAAATTTCACTGCTTCTCTCGTTAAAAGTTAAAAGAATGTAAATGAGATGTTTCATG